GGAGCCAGTATGTGGCAAACGGCAGCCACTCCGAGGCTAACGCCAGCCAGCCTGAGGCTAACGCCAGCCAGCCTGAGGCTTACGCCAGCCAGCCTGAGGCTAACGCCAGCCAGCCTGAGGCTAACGCCAGCCAGCCAGAGGCCTGTGGCTAAAGCAAACCTATTTGAGGCCAACGCCATTCTGTCCAAAGAACAATGGCAGCCGAGCTTATAGAAGGCAAAGGAGGTAGCCAAAGCAGGGCTTGGCCAGCCTAACACATGAAATATCTACAAAGCCAATTCAGGTTTGAACCCTCCTTGTTCTTTGCCAGCGGCTCCGTTATCAGTGTTGACCTGCCATTAGTCAGATCAGTAGTTGATTTTCGATTGACTATAGCCACTTCTGGGTTCACAATAGTCCTAGTTTTGCGCTCATACTGAGCCATATATTCTATGCAGTTTGGCTCTATCCTGCCAAGACATATCAATTTTCTTTTTCCTCTTTCTCCTATAAACTAACTGAAAAAAACACAGCTCTGCTTTGGACCTCCAAACAAGAAGGATCCATTACCGAAAAGAGCTGATAACGTCCAACATGTTCACTAAGTCACCATGTGGCATCACCTCAGGGACGCTTAGAAGCAGACAGAATAGATGCTCTACAAAGTAAATCCCCATTCTGTCCTCCTTCATATCCTTCCCCCTCCTGACCTGAAGCACCCCTCTAAGTGTAAGGGCTGTCCTCCTTGTTTTAAACCTCTCACCTCACCCCAGCTCTCCTCTCATTGGTCGGGTTCCACAGGTAGCAGCAGAGCGCAGGAGAGCTCGACAGAAGAGGAGGCTCATGGGTAACACAGAGAACATTTCAACCATCTTGATTTTTATTAATGAATCTTCGTCATTGGATGGTAGTTATTGGACCAGACTGGAGAAAGAGAGGTTTTTATTTAAGTAGATCCACTGCTCGCACTTCTCATGTTCATCTACATTCCTTTATGTGATCCTAGTCAGTCATTATTTTATACATATGTGTACATATGTCTGTATAGATGCATATATATATATATATATATAAACAGAGAGGGAGTGACATGAGAAGATGTGTGTACCTTGGGATAATTTAGTTTTCTGCATTGATTGGTTTCTTTATGTGATCTGAACTCTTTCATTAAAAAGGACCCTTGTTTTAACATTTAATGCTGCATAGCAACCAAAAATAACACAGTTTGCTGGAAAAGTAAGTGAACTTATGAGATGGTAACTGTTTCATCCAATGATGTTCTGGAGAAAAAGTCAACACCCTTCCTCTGCTTTCACCGGTCCTCATCTACTGCGTCTGATTCCTGAAGAAGATGATATTCCGTTTCAGTAGACGAAGTTGTTCATTGGGTACATGGTAGACATTTTACCTAGAGTTCATGTTCCTGTGTATTCCCATGTAAACTTGTAGACGGGATTCCCTCTCATTCAGGCCGAGGGCCGCTGAATGCTTTGAAAGAAGCAGATTTAAAGCTGTGTTTTGTCTGAATTGCATCGGAAGACAAAAATTATGTGTCTGTCCTGTTAAAAACGCAAAAATATCCTAATTTTAGATTGGATAAATAATATCCAAAGAGGCTGCAGGTCAGATTTTTGCTTCGACTGAACTCGTTCAAAGGATGTCGGGTTATCAACGCTATTCCCGGGGTGAATGGGGGTTATTCAGGTGGTTATAAACTCTGTCTTCCTTCATATTACACTATGTCACAGTATTTTTGTCTTCTCCGGAACTTTCCACGGTCAAACCTTTCCTGAGATGTTGTCCAATGTCAGTCAAAGTAACGGCTCCATCCAGAAGCTTCCAGAGCTAAACCAATAGGAAGGACTTCCTGTTTCCATCTGCTCCACAAAACGACAGTCACCATCAGTTTGCTTCAGGTTTAGTGCCTCCAGTTGCATTTATATGATTATCTAATAGCCATCGCCATCAAAGCAGGTCTTTGCAGTATTATTTTTTTTATTACCATGACGATAAATATGATAGCGAAAAACAATATTCAAAAGTGTGAGTTTGTCCTCATCTAGCATATCCTGCTGTTTGTTCTTAAATGGCTACTTTCTGATCTTAGCTGAGCTTATAAACACTGATTCCTGCTGCATTTATACACCCAGTCGGTCACTCTAATTTGCCTGGATCTGGATCTGGATCTTGGATCTTGGATCTTGGGTTTTTGACACTCTTTACTAAAGCTAACTACTAAGTTAGCTTCACTAAAGCTAAGAAGTTAGCTTTACTAAAGCTAACTACTAAGTAGTTAGGTTCACTGAAGCTAACTACTAAGTTAGCTTCAGTGAAGCTAACTACTAAGTAAGGTTCACTGAAGCTAACTACTAAGTTAGCTTCAGTGAAGCTAACTACTAAGTAAGGTTCACTGAAGCTAACTACTAAGTTAGCTTCAGTGAAGCTAACTACTAAGTAAGGTTCACTTAAGCTAACTACTAAGTTAGCTTCAGTGAAGCTAACTACTAAGTAAGGTTCACTGAAGCTAACTACTAAGTAAGGTTCACTGAAGCTAACTACTAAGTTAGCTTCACTGAAGCTAACTACTAAGAAGTTTGCTTCAGTGAAGCTAACTACTAAGAAGTTTGCTTTACTGAAGCTAACTACTAAGTAGTTAGGTTCACTGAAGCTAACTACTAAGTTAGCTTCACTGAAGCTAGCATCAGTGAAATGTAGATCCTTCCTCCTCATTCAGATTTCTGCATCCAGATATCTTTTAATAACTAAAAATGTCCCCAATTCAGGCCTACAAATGATCGGATTATTTATTGTATTTATTTTTGTGTGCTTTGAACACTAAAAGAGAAGAAAATTAAAAACGATCCTCTGAAAGTCTTGATCTCTCTCGCTCTCTTGCAGCCAGAAAACACATCTGGATGTCGTGGAAAGTAGTTTTGTTTTTTCTTCTAAGGAATGGGGTGATTTACAGAAATTTAAAAAGCAGGAGATGAAGGATCGGGGATTAATAAAGAACCAGATTTAAACACAAAGTCCTGGTTTATCACCAGAACCTCTTGTTGGACACTCTGGTTTTTTTTCTTATCTTACTTACGGCAATCTCTGTGAACTTCCCCTTTACCTTGACGACAGACACGACACTCAAAGGGTCACATTTATAAATTATTTTATTATCTTTTTCCGCCTTATGTAACGACAATTAACATAAATCCACTTAGCTTGTGCTAATGTCTTAATATCAGGCTTCACAAACTAGGACAGATATTTAGCGGGAAGGGTTCCTGATGGTACTAAAAAGATGCAGGTCACTGTAGAGAAATCTGTTGGATTTAATTTAGGCAGTGCCTTCCTTCTTCCAGGTTTAGCTCATTGCACTAATTTGCTGTGTCATCATTTCTGTTGTATAGCCCTGGGTGCCAAAGTGTTTATGCAGCTGGTTAAAACTAGTCGCTAATAATGTTTCATGTCCACCATGAGAAGTATTCAATGTGTTTTATCTTCTTTTTTTTATTTTATTTTAATAGCCCCATAAAACTGATTTGTGAAGCGAAACAAAAAGATATTGAATGTTAGTGGCTAATAATAGCTTTAAGTCCTAAATAAGAATAGGATATATATGCTAAAATAGATTTTTGTTGACAAATTGGTTTAAATAAAAGTTATACATTAGTTATCAGTGCAGGTTGGATGTTTACTGCGCTGCAGCTGGAGTCCTGTTTTCAAGGTTTGATTGAACTGATGTAACGAGGGGCGAGGCGACAGAACCGTTCTTTAAAGATGCTTAAAATCGCTGACATGATCAGACGCTCAAAGGTTCTGGTAAAATTGATTTAGTCGTCTAAAAACCGATTCCAAGTCATGTAGCATTTCTGCTGCGACTAAAAAATAGACAATACTGTGAAAGGAGGCGGATTTTTGTGTCTGTAGATGGAGGAAGGAGGTTCTTATGATGCTTTAAGCATGACAGGCTGCCTCATAATGATGCGTTTTGTCTTTAGGGGCGACGGAAAGGAAAGACAGCAGACAGAAAAAGAGGATGTTCAGCAACTATGAAGTGAATTTTGTGCCTTTATTGTTGCAAGCAATTGTGACATATTTTATTTTTTCTATTTTCTCTTTTTTTAGATTGACTTTTATGATTTTCTTTCTTTTCATTGCATTTTACCAACCAGATTCTCTTCACCTTAAGCCAGACACAAACGCTCGCTCTAAACCAGTAAAAATGTTGCAGTCGTCTGTGCAGACCAATAGGAATGCTTCTTTCCTCAAGTCCGCCCCTAAGCCTGCGCTGCAAGCTGGATTGTCGCAAGATCTGAGTTTTCAGTCTCACAATAAATGCATCTTCAAAGACTCCCGCTAATACGTCCGCCCCGTAACAACCAGCGGGTCGGACCAATGACATGCCAGCAGTGATTTTTGGGGCGGGACATGTAGGAAAGATGTCACTCTGAAGGGCCTTGCCGGGGCATTACCAACATAGCGTAGCAGGATTGATTAACAGGATTCACCTGTTAATCAATCATCAATCATCCTTGCAAATTTTTTTCAATGGTTGAATCTGTTCAAAAATCTACGGTAATTGTTGCTTAAAACGCCTTTTCTGTGCAAATTTGTCTTGCAATTTCTACAAAAATTGTCACACGATGACATAACTTCTCCGTAGACATCCAACAATGGTCTACATTTCTGTAAACACGTCCTACCTGTCACTCCGCACGTCTGAAGCGTCACGATTCGCTGCCACGATTTGTGGAAAGCGTATTATGGAAGGCGGGTACTAGCTGGCACGTCACCCAATCAGTTCGAAGTATTGTTCTAAACGCCCCTCCTTTTTACTGACAGACTGAACGGCAGCCATCCCAGGTTGATAACGTAGAAGTCGCTCAGTTCTACACATATCAATCTGGCTACTGGCAGGTTAGCCCGCCCCAGAAGTGATCCAAAAACCCAAAATGAAAAGAATGCAATTCGTAAAGCTCAACCTCACATAGAGAAATCCGAGAATGTGAAAATATAAAACCTGTAAATATTGGGACTAGGAAATGAAGTATATCTTTAAAATTACATTTGAAAAAATAAATTGTACAAAAATAAAATTCTCAATACTACTGCTTTTGCTCAAAATGCAGTAAAACAAATCAAATCTGATGCACAATGTAAATTGGGGAGTCGGTGTTTGATAACTCTGTGGCTGTTAATAGACCTGGATGTCTAATGCACCAGGAAAAACAATGCAGCTTCAAAAAAAGGAAATTCTTTTTCATATTAGTGAACTTTAAAATACATGAATACAGATTCTGTTTGAGAAATCTCAATGTAGTTTATGCCTGACCCATCTGCTCATTGTGGAAACGTAGCAGTAAAGCTGCTGCTGATGTTTCATATCTCATTATGTGTGCTTAGCAATTCTAAACAATAAAAACCTTTTTTATCTGGGTCCAAATGTACGGAAGAGGATTAGGGCCACTGAAAAAAAAAAACAAAAAAAACTGATTTTTAAATTTTATTTTAGTTTAGTATGGGAAAAAAGTCAGAATTCTGACTTTAATCTCAGAATTCTGACAGATAACAAACATGTTAGCATCCAGCCATAGCCATGTCTGTTTTTAGAGACTAGCTCTCTTGTTTTAATGACCTTCTGCTCCTCTATTAATGAGGGGACCCTTCGGGCACGTAAAAAGTCGACTAATTCCTTCATTTTCCACCAATGTGTCGCTGGCCCTCTCAAACAACTCACATCTTTGTCAGTGAAGCTGGGTGCTCCCACAAGTCAGAATTCTGAGATTAAAGTCAGAATTCTGAAGAATTCTTTCCCATACTAAATTGAAATAAAATTTTAAAATCAGTAAACTTTTTTTTTTTCCAGTGGCCCTAATCCTCTTCCGTACAAACGTGACGTCTTTAATACAGCTTTGTCTTTTAATGCGTGTCCGTTCTAAAGAGTTCATGTATATTAGGATCAAGGCTGTGGTTTTTATTGCACTCGTTAAGGTGCAGGGTGAATTTAAAAGGCTTAGATATAAAAATCTTTTTGTTTTATTTTGCTATTTCCACAGGCTGGTATTGTATATGCTACAATATTACTAGTTAATGGATCATTTTTTAATCATTAGAAAATGACTTTGGCAGCTGCTTTGAATGGAGTTATTGAAATCTCAGAGGAAGACTAATTAGACTGAATTAGACAAACCAGGACCCCAACTTTTAAGATGCTTTTTAAATCAATAAGAAGTACCCAGACAAGTTTATGGAGTAATTTTTGATTCGTTATTATTGCAATAAAATAATGTTTTGTTAACTAATATTTGGAAAGAAAAAAAATCTGTATATATAATCCAGGAAAGAAACATTGACCAACTCTTTAATCAAAAGAGAGAAAGTAACTTTTTTTTTTTTTATTTCATTTTTTTATTTTGATATATTTGCATTTTATTTTTAAAATTCTCCTTTTCAGATTAAGTTTTACAAATTGCATTCTTTTGAAATTGAATTTTATAGATCATATTCTCCTAACGTCTGTCGGCGGGTTCTCCTCTGGAGCAAAAATGAAAACCAGAAAAAAAATAATAAATTCTCCCAAAACAGCAGAGTTAGTCTAAAAACCTTTTCTACATAACGATGTTTTGCGAAGTTTAATTTTATGGATTGCATTCGCTTCAAATTTCCATTTACCAAATGTGTTCTTTGCTTGCAACTATAATGGAGAAAAATTCCCTCCATACAAGTTCTGCTCAGAAGAAGAGTACCGTGGGTTTCCTCTCCCACGCCGCTCAGTCTAGCTAAAGCACGTTGAGGAAGAACTTGACATAAACAAACTAATCAATCATTCTAAGCCTGCTGGATGTTTTAGAGTCTCTCTGCAGCCTGGCTGATGCAGATCAGTAGAGCTTCACTCTGCTGCAGCCTCGTTACATTCGCACAATTTGCCTCCTTGTATTTTTACTCTATGCGACCTGGATCCAGTGTTATTACATATTAACAGATCACATGTGATTCTTTTATTTTCTAACAATCTCTGAGTAAATA